AAACGAAACTTCTGGTCCCGGTGAATGACCCAGATTGAATCCTGCAACAATATCCTGGGACACGTATATTCACCTTCATTCGTGTAGAAATTACTTCACAAATTAATGCATTTTGTCCCTGAAAGTGCTTCATCAGAGAGTTTTAATTGCATTAAAGTAGAGGTGAAGATGTTGCTGAACTACAACAGGTAGAAGCCTTCCCTACTTAGCCAACAGTGATGTAGGGATATTCATAGTTGGGTTTCTCAAACATTAGGAGGACCATAGGTTGTGCAGTTAGAGTCTATTTTCTTTTCCCCCATGTGGACTGAAATTCTTTATATTCTTTCTTGATATTTGTAAAAATCTCATAAGAAATCAGAAAAGGGAGCAAGACTGCAAACTCATCTGAATGCAACTATATAGAGCAGTGGTGGCGAACCTATGGCACGCGTGCCAGAGGCGGCACTCGGAGCCCTCTCTGTGGGCACATGTGCCGTTGCCCCAGCCTCGCCTCCCCCCACAACCCCCTCACCAGCAGCCACCCTGGAGGAGAGTTGCCCCCGAGCGTGGCCCACACAGAGCAGCGCAGCCAAGAACATGGCAGCCAGGCAGCGTAGACAAGACTCTGCCCTCTCACCCCATCCCGCATAGTTGATGCTGCAGGGTGTGGGCAGAGGGCGTGGCTGCCATGGTGCTGCTGGGCTGCCTGGGCGATCTGCGGTGGGCCCTTGGCTCTGAGTGGCTCTGCGGGCAGGTGGGGTGGGGGCGGGGCAGGGAGTGGAGCAGGGGCGGGGCCAGTTTTTGGGCACTCGGTCTCTAAAAGGTTCACCATCACTGATATAGAGTGAGTGAGAGCAGGAGAAATGAGTTACACATAGATTCCTCTTATGACGTATCTGAATTACAAAACACAGCAAACAAGAGACTAGTAAAGGCATCTATTTTGCAAAAGGCTTTCTTATTTATAAATCTGTTGATAATTAAAAACTTTTTATACCTCTAATTATTTTCATATTTTTTTTTATCCATATTTTCAAACAGATCTTATTTTAAAATTCTACCAATTTTGTGAAATTCTAACGTTTGAACTCATTATAACTTCATCTCTTGCAAGATGACCTGCAAAGGGGAAACAGAACTCTGTTTCTTGTTCAGGAAACATCTGGCCAACCTTTTAATTCTCACGCAGGTCACTGGCCATTTCAAAGCTAATGGAACAGAAAAGGGTGGGAAGACAAAGGTACATCTCTCTAAGTATCATCACACAGTATACCAGTCTGAATCAAAATAGGTTCTGGAAATGGCCTTTTGCTGATTGAGGGGTCCTTGGTGCTCTCTGAGCTTGGTTGTTTTCTTGCTGAGAAAACAAGTACCAAAACTAAGTGACATCATCAGTGCATTCTTGCTGATTACTTTTCTCCCGATCAACTTTTAAGCTATAGCATATGGCTAGAATTGCAAATTTCCAGTGGAAGAACGGAAAATAGGCAGTGCCTCGGTATTAGTTGAACACTGAATTATGAAGCAGATCCAGGCAGAGTGGAATGGCTTTCTTTGAATTTTTAAATAGTCTGTATATTTCTGGCTCACATAATGATTAGAAAATAATGCATTTTAAATTAAGTAACAGCTTGTAGTATTTGTAGATTTATGACAACCTTATTCACCCACATCCACATTTCTATCCATTCACCCTCATCAATTAGTGCAATATGCAATCTCTCTTTCCAATAAATTAGAGTTGCAACCCATTAGACCAAACTCAGCAGATCAGTTGCCTCTGGTGTTCCCTGAAACTCAATTAGCTTCCTGTTTTGACTGTCTGTCTCAGAAATGGAGTGAGGGGAGCAAAGAACAGAAATGTCAACTCATACCTGGCAAGCTGTATTACATCATTGCTGGAAGGGGCATAAAATCCACCGGGCATAAGTTACATATGATTAATCCAAATCCAATTGATTTTTATGGGTCTGCTTTAAATAGGACCAATGGACAAACTGTAATAAATGCATAGGATATACAACTACCTATGTGTTTGAAGGGGTGGGTATATTACAGGAAATATAGAGGAAGGAAGTTTAATTCTCCTCCTTGCCAAACTGTGATTTTATAACATTCCCTCCTTTCCATTCATCTGAAAGCAGAGGTCCACATCTGGCCGGTGTATCCCAGGTGGCCAATTTGAGTGCTATGGCTATTTTGTCTTTCTATTTCCCTAAAGTTGAGCATTACAGTCTAGCTGCTTTAAAACTATTTGAAGTAGAAATAATGGCACAGCAACTGTATGGTGAAAATCATGGCTTTACTCTTAGCTCCAGCAGAAAAGGTGCAGTCTAAGTTTAAGAGCACTTATGCAAGTGTGTCCAACATAGCTTTAAGATTAGGACTGGGAATTACAAAAACAGTGGCCAAAATCTGGATAGTGTTTTTTTAACAACTGACTAGAATTTATGCTTATCTCAAGAGGGCTAACTCTTCTGATAATCAAGGGTTATTTTCAATATGGAGGAAAAAAAATCTTTCAGAGAATATATTCTGTCCCTTGTGAAACATTACACAGGATGGGATATAATAAGACATAAGACGGCACCAAGCCAGCTGACCTTCTGAAATATGTCAGCTAACTCTCGCCAATCTTTAATAATTATGGATATTGAAGAACATAAAAAGCCACTAATGACAGATATTAAAAGATTCTCTCGTATGAACACCTCTGCCCGTGTGACTCTGCAATTTGTCCTTTGTTTCTGCTGTAAGACCTTAGATATGGTTGGTTATGGAGTCCCATGGGATCGACAACCAGAAACATTTTTTACCGACCTCCACAAATTTGTTGTAATAGCAAAGTTTAGGTATTACTGGAGTAACAGCACTGTCCAATAGTCTCTGAAATTTAGGCCAATTGGCTTTTTAAAAGTTATATCTATATTTGAAGGGGATACTATGAGGTTGAACTACAGTGGTAACATTACAGATAATGGCTAGTGTTGGGAATTTGGGCTAGATGGGCACACTATGACACATTGCTGAATTATACGGTCACTCACAAATATAAAGTCTGGGTTATATCCCCTGCGCTGCCTTCCACTGTTAAATGAAGCTGGTAACCTCTTGTCATGTGAAAGAGGCAGGTTATTCAAATCGGCCCACTGTATAACAGCCTCCCCATTACTGTCATCATCATCAGGATACCGTCAGATGCTGCTGTGACAATTAAAGTCTCCAGTGACAAAATTTATTTTATCCTTATTAAATGTATTAAATCCGTCATTCTTGATCTCAGTCAATAATGATTTATATACATTGAAGTGACCATACAGATGCTGAGCTCTACAGTTATTGCTTTTATGTTATTCATTTCTGATATTGTTGTGAACCAGACTTGGATCCCAGGCTTCACAAAACCTGTGCTGCCATGCTGTCAGTGAGGCGTCTCTGCTACAAGCCGCATGCTCTGTATTTTAGATATTCCCTGAAGATGGCCTCTGTGGGTCTCCTGTATACACAGGACATCACAGTTATACTTTTGGACAAACCCTGATGTTTACTGAAATAATAGTCATCTGTAGAGCTGAAAAGGTCCTTTTTGGGATACACATAGTGTCACAGGTGGAAATGAGCACCTCACTATGCTTTGGATGCTTCGGGATTGAAAGGATTAGCCAGCTATAAACTGTTCTCCAGAGGACACCCAAATGTGTTAACAGCACACATTCTTCGAGGAGGCTCCTTTCATGTCCCCCTCTAATTGAAATGAAAAGGATTTTCAGTTTTAATGAGTCTATATGGTTTTTGTTGGAGAAAGGCCAGATTTTTTAAAAATGATTAAATATAACAAAATTTCTAGGTGAAACTCCCATCTGTTTAACTTTCAAGGAGCTGCTTAAACCACATTGCTTGGAAGATATAAGATTCAAAACAGATGAAATTCCCATGAAGAGAACAAAGTAATGGCATGTATCAGTGTCAGATGTACTGTATCCAAATTCTACCCTTTCCCATTTAATTTCTCAGTGAATCATGAAAAAGAAAAATGCCCAGACAAATCTGAAATAATGCCAGATGTATTTTGGATATTCTTTCTACTATACACACAGAAAGACATATACATGCATACTAATACATGTGTGTTTATGTGTGTGTGTGTGTGTGCTAGTTTATGGGATTACCCTAGTACTGGCTTTTTACTAAGCAATTCATTTTTTTGTACATGATTTTCCTAAATATGTTGGTTTGCACCAACGCTGTATTAGTTTTAGGCAGGTTTCACAATGTGTGTGTGTGTGTGTGTGTGTGTGTAGCTTTCCCAAATATACACTAGTCTATATGATCTTTCTTTGTTAAGGACAATGGATAAAAATGTGCTCTATTTATTCCTGCTGCTTTTAGAGGTATGGGGGAGAGAGTCAATGAAGGCAAACACAAAAGCAGGATTGAAAGTTATTATATAAGCTCTGCACTTTTTATACAGTAAGTGTGTTATGAAGTTGCACAAAAGTAAGAAAGGGGCGCAGCTTGCATTATAAGTGCCATACTGCTTATATCACTTTCTTGAAAGCACTGGATCCTGTGGATGCCTCTGGAAGATGGTCAGGTCAAGAGGGAATTGGCTTTGATGGACAGCAGCTTTTTTGAGTCAAAGAAATACGGAATAGATTTCTCTCTTTGAAGTTGATATTGGAAAAAGAAGCAGTGACTTGAATTCAAAGTACTGAGTTGCTCCAACAGTTTAATTCGTGGGATAAGCTCTGCATACTCTTGAGAGAATTGTGTCGTGACTAAGGTCGTGACCGAGTTAAAGAGGTCGGAGAGACTACAGTTCCTTTGTACAGTGTAGTCTCAAATCGAGTTTCTTCTCTCTGTGTTTGTGAATTGACACAAAAGTTCGGTAGTTTTCATTTTCCTTCCGCACTGACCTTTTACTTTTCAAATTATTCAAGGTAATAGTATACGGACCGAGCTTCCACGGCTCATGATTACCATCCCCAAAGGCAGCTGTTATTCAGTGATGTCTCATGACTATATCCACATCAGTGACCAACTTTGGAAAGTATATCTATCAGTCCTTCAGATTGAATACAAAGAGCCGTCTATCTCTTACGATAACTGTGGCAAGCTTTCTGCATGTCTTTCAAGAAGTTGGGAACACCAGTCTGAAACAGGAATTGAAAAATACTTATCCTTCTATATTTAATGGTACACTAAGTAGCAACCAATTTTCTTTGCATTTCCTTTGCTACTACTTAAAAAATAAACATTCATTTAAGTCACCCATCTCATACTTTGATTTACAGAGAAGCATCACACCAGGGCTTAATATTTGCATTAATTCTGGGGACACATTCACTGGATTGCTGGCATCTCTTCTACATTAGCAGCCAGACACTATCATCCACACTTTTCAAATTATATAAGGAAAAGGGCAACAACAAAACAATATTCCACATTTCTAAGAGCCCATGAATCAAAATGACTCATTGATTTAACCTACAGCATCAATTCTCCAGAGCTTCAACTACTCTGCTTACCTTAGCTGCCCAATTGACAACCCACGAAGGAAGCCTTCCACCAGGATCGTCAAAATAGGTCATGAAAACTTTTTAACCAAAAAAAGAGAAAAGAAACAAAGTGCAATTTTAAGTGCATTGTTTTAATTTATCTAGTAAATGCCTGAAATTATTTCATGTGCTGAAATTCCACATGGTTTGTGAGCACATTTTATTCCTTTTCCCTCCCCAAATATCAATATTTCCCCCCTTCTGCATAATGTCCTCATGTGGATTCTATTTTAGGCAACTTACTGCCTAAACCCAGTCCAGAAACAAAAGCAGTAAAGAATAGAGATGAATCTGAAAAAGTCAGTTTTTCTTCCACAACTGCTATTCAGAGATAGATAACCTCTGATACTGCAAAAACTAGACTGTCATCATGACTGCCAACTACTGATAATTCTTGCCTTCATAAGTTTATCCAATCTCGTTAAATGCTTCCATCATATCATTTATCAGAACCTGCACTAAAGGAATGAATTAATATAAGTTATATGGCTGCCTTTCTTATATAATACTACTCGGAGCAGCTCACAAACATAAAACCAGGAAAACAGAAAAAGCGAGATCTGGCACCTCAATCAACAATCTATTATACATCCAGCAATAAAATTCCTGGCATCCTCACCCTATTCCAATTAAATGCTTGCCACTTAATTGTGTGCCCTCTCTAAAAGTACTTATGGAATATGCCCCAAACCTCATTTCTGCTTAGTCGCTTTAGTGTAAATGCCATCAGCATACTGTATATGTGATGTGAGAATTTTTCTTCTCAAATGTGCATTTCCTCATGTTTGTTTGCAATTAAGTAAATTTATATTGAACTATATTTGCCCTACCCATTCTCCAATTAAGAATGCTTAAATGCTTTTAAGCATTCTAACTAATCTGCCATGATTAGCTAACGTAGCCATCTTGTTGCTTTTCAATTTGCCCATAATTGTTTTCAAACAGCAAAACACATTTTTGGTTGCTATTGCTATTTTAAAGCCATTTGTTTTTTCTTTCTGTTTTCTGTTCTTTAATAGGTTACCAATCTTCCAATTCCATAATGGTGAGTTCACTCAGGAGCCTCTGGCAAGCCTTATGAAAGTAAAGAAAGAAAAGAAAAAACTGTATCCCTATAGGTCAAGACATATGGATATGACACCCCTATCCATAACCTAAATGCCTTCAAAGAACTTTAAAAGGTCAATGAGGCAGAAATTACCTTTCCAGAAAGTTTGTTGATATTTCTTCAGCAAGCTTTGATTTTACATTATGTTCTCACATGAATACATGGTCAATTCAAGAAGTGTTGGAAAAACCTCCACCCTTCATAGAGCCTGGTGCTGCTGTGAATGCACCAGACATTTTAAAAGTTAAAGAAAGGTAGAAGAGGTTTCCTTGGCCACCACATACAGTTTTAAAAGTGTATACATCCCCTCCCCCGATTGTTGCTAGCCAAATTATTTTTCAGTTACTAGGCATCCCGTTAAAAATCTGACAGCAGCAAATATTCAAATTCACTTCCAGAGGGATCCATAATAAATATTTTTTAATCCCTAGGCAGGAGACAAAGAGCAACAGAAAGAAGCAAGGTGAAAATTAAATAGTAGAAATTGGTTAGCTGGTGACAGAGAATTATCTGTATTGGAATTTACAAACAATCATTGGCTGTAGGCCTGCAGTACTACTATGCATACATTCTTTCAGCAATATGTTTATCCAAATCTCTAACCAAAGGCATGCACTAATTTTTACAAAGGTATATAGATACTTGTCAAAGTCCTGAATTAGAATTTATTTTTTTCTGATCGAATCAACCATTCCTATAAAATTATACATTCATTTCTTACCTTTGCACCCTTTCTTGCCATCACTTGCAAAGGCCACACCTTGTTTATAATTCTTTACTCTAACAATCCCAGGCTTTTCTGAGAATTTAACAGTATTCACACTTTTAGCCAATATAACATAGATCTTCTGCCCATCAAGCTCCATATCTCGACGATCACGAACAAAAACATACTGTACTGAAGTTTAAGAAATAATCAGGATTTTAAAATTCAACATACATTATGTGTCCAGACACATCCCAAATTTAGGGAGCACCGATTCAATTGCATTTTGGGACTTTAAATTATTTTGGTTATTTTGCTTTTCCCCCCCCAAAAAAGTGTAAGATGAAACAATAGCATGTATAAAGATCCTACTTTTTTAGCTTCTAATAAGGATTAATTTGTACACCATTAAAATTTTCAGAAACTGAGAAAAACTGAGATCACAGCAAGGTTTGTAACTATTAAAATTAAAAGTAAAATTACTGTCAAATAGTTGAAAGGATACATCTCTGTTTGCCAAGGGGAAGGGGAACTTCACTTCCCAGTAGATAGCTGTTTTGCCATCCTGAGTTTTCTCACGTACATCTACAAAGTGGTGGTAAAATGTATGAGAAATATATTTATTTCACTAAACAAACAAATGATGACTAGAAAGCATTTAATAAAACATAAATCAAGCTAGGTATGTGCGAGACCTCAATATGTGTCCCTTTTGCTCTAGGCCAGGGGTAGGCAACCTTGGCTCTTTTATGACTCGTGGACTTCAACTCCCAGAATTCCTGAGCCAGCATGGTTCAGCATGGAAACCTCTCCCTTTCCCCTCAGCATGGGGGGAATTCTGGGAGTTGAAGTCCACGAGTCATAAAAGAGCCAAGGTTGCCTACCCTGCTCTAAGCAGTCAGCATCTAGGGCCATGGTGGCGAGAGGCGGCACTCAGAGCCCTCTCTGTGGGCATGCGCGCCGTCAGCCCAGTCCTAGGCCTTCAGCTGGGTTTTATGAAACCTTTTCGCTTTAGGCCTCCGCCGCCATATGCAAAAACAAAAAAAGGTTCAATCAATCAGTCAATTTCAACTTCTTGCAGGAAAGTTGGAATTGATTGATTGAACTTTTTAGTTCCACCCAGTCTGCCATTACCATCGCAACCATGCCCACCCAATGGGCCACGCCCACCCGGCACCCGACGATACATAAGTGGGTTTTGGGTTGCAGTTTGGGCACTCTGTCTCTAAAAGGTTCGCCATCACTGATCTAGGGCTTTAAGTGGGGAGGCAGGATTCAAAGTTGTTTAAAGTCATGTGGCAAGCAAGTTGAATGAATCATCATTATTATATACACAACAATGTGAAATCACAGCTGCAAGTTCTTTAGCTGGTGTTGGCCTTCATGCCCAGCAAGTTCTTTTTTATTTTATTTATTCATTAAATTAATATGCTGCCCATTTCACTAACGGAAGCAACCCTGAGTTCTTCCCAAGAAGTTAGGATGACATAATGTATTAGCATAGTATACGTGTGGATCCAAGCAGTCTGATCTTCTGCAATGTACAGATTTTTCTAAGTGCTGTCCCAGATTTGGTATGGTGCTCAGTGTGCCGTTAATCGTGTGGGACCACCATGGCAGCCTTATGCCATATTTTTTCAACTATGATTTGCAGATCTTATACTTTGTGATCTCCTCCAATTCTTTGTTTTCTACGGGTAGTCCTTGACTTCATTTAATTCATTTAGTGACAGTTCAAAGTTACAATGGCGCTGAAAAAAGTGATTTATGACCATTTTTCACCCTTACGACGGTTGCAGCATCACCAGGGTCACGTAATTTACATTTGGCTGCTTGACAACTAACTCACATTTATGACCGTTACAGTGTCTGGAGGGGGTCATGTGATCCCCTTTTGCAACCTTTCTGACAAGCAAAGTCAATGGGGAAGCCATATTCACTTAACAACCATATTACTAATTTAAGAACTTTCTTGTTATGAGCCACGGCTTTATCCGTTTGTATTTGGAAATCCCGCAATATTTTATACATTCATTCTCGACTATTTTTTCAACTAAGACGTTCCATCAGTTTTTTGTTACTAGCACATGGTACTTTTTATAGACTATTATTATTCAGAATAAATTGCAGGTTAAAGAAATCAAGGACAGAAACCATGGCAGCAATTATGGAATCACTACATCTTAACTGCCTCTCAGTGGATAGCAGCCTTAGCTTCCAAAAGTAACCCCTGAGAAGCTCAGAGCCAAAGAAAAATGAATCCCCCCAAACAGTCCTGACTTTTTTTAAAAGAATGCATCAGGAAAACGAAAAGTTCTACAGAGGAAGAATGGGAAAGAATATTAAAAGAAAGTATTTATCTATCATCATTTGTTTAGCCTCATTAAAGAAAAACAAAAAAGTACTTCTGACTCTGTTGCACTGGGGAAAAATATCTGTCATGAAAGGAGAGAACCATGCTGAGCAATTATGTAGAATCAAGATGTGTTAAGTCTCTGTCTACAGATTGCTTGGACCTAAAAAGGTCCCAAGTAAGGTTCATATACAATAACTCCTTCAGCATTTTTTTGCAAATTTTCTCTCTTCCTCACTATTCCATTCACCTATATCTTTAGTCTCATGTTGCCCCCCCGCAAAAAACCACTTTCAACATAAATACATACATACATACATACATACATACATACATACATACATACATACATACATTACTGTATACAGTTCAGATTCAAAGAAAAGAAACAATTTTCCAAGCAACACAGTGGGATCTAACAGAGGCTGGACTTTAATATACAGTAGGTTGTGTCCCCTTCAATTATACTTCATCTCCCAGAATTTTCCAGCCAATATGGCCACTGATGACAATTCAAACATCCACCTATTTGGAGTGCAACCAGATTGGGAAAGACTAGCTTATCAGATCCATAACATCTAACAATAAATTGCCTTTCCCACAAGAAACAGAATAGAACAGACAGATAAATAAAGCATAGTGTCTCTGGTGGAATGGTTAAGATGTTGGGCTAGGCCTGGAGAGGCCCTGGTTCCGGTCCAGCTCAGCCCTTTGAGCTAATGATTCTTTCTCTAGTTACCTCACATTTTAGGGTAAAAGTGAAGGAGGGAATGAAGGAGGGAATGCTATGTACACTGCCTTGAGGAAAGGCAGGTTATAGACATGACAAATTATATACATAAGATAAGAATAGTCAGTATCTGTCAAGAGCCCTCCTTTTTCCAGCAGAAAATCCATGGCTCTGTAACTTGAGCCCCTAGGACTGTCTCATCCTCATGATGAATCCTCTTCTGGCCATCTCAAAACAGCAAAGAACTAGGAGATACAAAATGGAGAAAGCTTTTTCTTGGATAAGGTGAGAAAAAGAAAAAGACAATTCTATTTCTTCTCATTATTTATTCTAGCAGTGGCTCTATTATGAAATTCTTAGGGTGACAGTGAAGCAAAGCAGTGGACACAAAATCTTTCTCCTCCAATATATACATATATATACATATATACATATGTATGTATGTATGTATGTGTGTGTATATATATATATATATATATATATATACACACACTTATTGCTTTTTAAAATATGGACATACCCAAGAGTCATGTTTTTACTTGTGTATATATACACACAAGAGTCATGTTTTTACTTGTGTATATATATATAGTATAAAAAATATAATTATTCATCAAACTAGAACTCAGTCCAAAAATGCTACTAAATCTCTTTCAATATAGTTTTTCCTTTCTATTGTCAACAACCATAGATAATTTATGTAGTTATGTTTCATAAATTGTGGCCTATATTTCTAAGGCCTCAATATTTTTTTTTTTAGTTTTTCAAGTCGTTTTGTGTAACCTAGTTCTTAAAATTAAGTTATCAGTTAGTTAAAGTTAACTACTTTTCCATCAACACAAATTAAAATGGTAATTGCTTTTTATAATAATTCATTAATTTCTTTTTAAACATTTAAAAACTGTCATTAGAATACTTAAATAAACTTCTCTCTAAAAATAACCTGTAGTCAAAAAACCAACAACACCAAAACACAAAAAACCACAAAGCAATACAATTGGTGCTTTTTCATGTTTTAACAAATGGTATGTTTCTCACTAAGTTTTATTTTTGAAGAATGTTCCAAAATTGCTGCACCATTGTTGGTCTTACCTAATCTCAAGCTCCAGTTGGAATCGCTTGACAAATAGGAAATGTCATGCACCTGATTGGTGCAGTTTATGGGTTGATACTAGAAGATGCTCTTGAATGCATTCTCAGTATTTTTAGACAACTAAATGAAATGCATCCTGAACAATAATATCATGCTGATCTTAAAAGTCAAAAAGGCCATTTTGTACTTTTCAACTAATACTGCTACGGGGTGCGTGGTGTGTGTGTGCGTGAAGTGACTACAGATGCTCATATCAGAATGAGAATTCTCTTAAATTCTTAAGACTTCCTCACAAACATATGGAAGGCTTAATCACATGTTGCTACTCTGAAACATCTTATTTTCACAGGATTTCATATTCAATGCCAACTTTCTAATGGAATAGAGTAGAATTCCCAGAAAACAGTAAGTCATATGAATATCACATTTTCCACCAGAGGTCACTGGCGTATTAATTTGGTACCAAACAAATGTATACTTATATCCCCAGGCAGGACATTTCTAATCTTACACATCTATCCATAAATATATTAAACAATCGATGGAACAGCACATTTCTATTTCTTTTCCTGCTCAATACTGAACCATTTTCTAAGTCTATTTATTCTTATGCATGCTTTATTTTCATTGTATATCACTCTTACAGAATTCAGAAATCATTTTTCAACACCATATTTGTGCAAAACAAGCCTACTCAACTTTACTGCATGCTTTCTTTAAATCAACAAATACAGAATTAATTCTCTTTTCACTTTCATATAATTCCTAATTCCTGAAGAGTAAAAATCAGCTCCATATAACCCCTCTATGTCATAAAACTGCATCACCCTTTCCACATTATAATTCATTTTAACTTCTAGTATTCTTTTAGTCACAATTCTGCCAGTCACCTTTCCATCTTTTCTATAATTAATAAATTTTCCCACAGTTTCCCCTGTGCTAGTTTACCCGCTCTACAAGGACCCCTTATGGGCCTTCTTTCAATTATAACACCTTCATACAATATTTAAATCAAACAGCAACTTCATAACCAGAAGAATTTTTCCAATTACAAAATGTAAACCTACAGCCTTACTATATACATTGTAGATATAAAGGTAGTCAACAAATTGCATGCAAAAGGAATGAACCGCACATTACCTGATAAGAGAAGCAGACAATGCAAAAGTAATATACTAAAATTGTCTGTATTATGTTTCCATGCCTTAATTTATGTTAATTTTCATTATACTGAGCATCTATGATTTATAGAATACACACACACACATCAAAAACTTTCTATAGGCAAAATAAAATTTTGTTTTAGAAGATTTTAGAAGATTTCCTCATATGGAGGACCAGTAAAGCTAAATGAGAATATCACTGAAGGATCAAAGAGGGTTGATTGAAATAAATGGCTATCTATTTAATTTCTCAAATAAATACCTATACTTTCAAAGTTATTTTATAAACACTAGAAGGGCATTTTAAATAGCATTTGTATTTTAAGGAAGAAAAGTTCACTCACTGAATTAATCATCTTTGAATTTAAAACAGTGGAATGAAAGAATCTTAGAAATGATAGCAATACAGAAGAAACATTAGAATTATTTACTAACTTTTAACATATTGGTCCCATTTTGTTCTGTAGTTTAAGTCCATATAAACTTCAGCACATAGCTCTGGGGAACAATCAGTAAGTATGCTGTAGATTTTATATTCATAGAGCCCCGATTTCTGGAAATAAAAATTAAAAATCAGTCAGATAAAAAAGCAATACCTGCTCTGTAGTACCATTTCTGTCTATGACACTATTACTTTGTATCACCCTTCTGCCCAGTGTCCCTCAGCAAAGCCATTGGTTAGAATCAAGGAGTGCAGTGTTCATAATCAAAGGGTACCAAGTTAGGGAAGGCTATTTTTACCAATCCAACCTATTTTCATAAAATAAATTTACATTAGTATCTCAAATAGAATATTTGTCTTAATATTTGGCTGGGAGTTGAAGTCCACAAGTCATAAAAGGGCCAAGTTTGAAGACCCGTCTTAAAGGATAGATACTACTGACCCTTTGGTGAAAGGCCTAAACTGTCCCTTTCAAAATACAATATTGTGCCAGCAGGTTTCCATTCACTCATGCAATGATGCCTAACCTTCCACTCCTGCAATAATAGTCCCCCCCCCCCATCTGCTTTGAAATGATGCAAAAAGAAGTAGTACAAGAGAGAATGACTGTGTTTGGCTGGCTAGGCTGGAAGAAGTTTAAAAAAAAAAGGGAACAGGATAAATGAATGGACAGGAGGAAAGACATTGCTGGAATGTCCTTGAAAAAGCTGTATGATATTATGGAAGACAGGTTGAGATGGCAAGTATTTATCTAGGAATTCACCAGAAATTGAACTCAATGAATGGTACCTAATTTATCTATTCCATTTGTGCAAGTACAGTTAGATTCAAGCTAAAAACCTCCATCCTGTTAGAAAATTTCTTCATATAGTAACCTTAAGGTAATTCTGCATGGCAGCCTTAAGGTATTTATCTTCGATGCTGATACTGACTAGATATGAAATCTGTCTAGTTTTCAAGCTTTGACAATGATCCAGGCCAGATGTTCTGTTTAGACAGCACTAACCATGGCCACTAGCTGGTAGATTGACCTTCTTCACCTCTTCCTCCAGCATTGAGAAAACAAGCACTAGTTACTTTTCTTTATGTAGGCAGATCTTTGAGGACATGTGGTTTTCATTTGCAAACATCCAACAGTCAATGAATCATTCAGCTGGGAGGAGACTTAGACATCTAATTCAACCTCATGTTTAGTGAAAGATTTGCTTGCTCACAATGAACCTATCACCAGATTATCAGTGGAGCACTGAAGAAAAGTACACCACAGTTTCACCATTCAGTATTCTTATTGTTTGATCTAGAAGGCAAAACTGGCAAACTGCTCTTAATTTCATCCCACCCCTTACTTGAATCCAGAAATCCCTTCTGCCAGCATTGGCCTTTGCAAGCCCAATTCGGAGAACTTTTATATATCAAAAGCATTAATGGGGTCTAATCTTAGGAGAACTGAGAGGCACATCTGTACTGGGAGAAAGGAGGAAGATTTTTTTTTCTCCCCTTTTCACGATTGACTATTTGCAATTGGTACTTGGCAACAAATTATATATCTTCTGGCATTTCATTGTTTAGTTTGGTTCCTCAGCAAGACTGGGCAGAGGTTTTGGACATGAATTGGCCGGTAAGATTCTTTACATGAGAATTAAGCTATATAACCAGTGCTCTTGATTTTGAAACCCATAAAGGTTTAGAGCCATTGTTTCTTCATCCCATCCCTTCCACATACCCTGGACATGACATACAGTAGACTTAAAGCCACATGAATATTGTTAACTGTCATTTTTTAACTGAGAACTATCTAAATCCTCACTGAGAAAGAGGTGATACTACAAAGAGACTCAGGATCTGTTTTTTCTTTCTTTCTGCGTTTTCCTGAATCCTTTCATTGCTTTAAAATGACATTAAGACTACTTTAGGACATTTTAAAGTATTTCCTATGTCTAAAATGGTAGGAAACATATCATCAGTTTTTGTGGCGTGTTCAAAAGCAACTTGAAGGCTCCAAAAGCATTAAAGCAGTAAATTGCCTGCTTTTAATATACAGCAGCTAATTGTTGATTCTCCCAAATAAAAGCAGCAATAATAACCATATTTCTGTTATGATGTTTAGCTATATAATATATTAGAACTTTTGAAGCAAAAATAAATAACTTGCTATTATTAATATTAGTCATTGTAGGAAGTCTAATTCAATGCATTAACAAATTCAAATGTTTTCCCTGATGAGAAACATACCCAATATTATATATGGGTAGAATTTAAGTGATTACTATCACTAAAATTACCCTTTATCTGAGTTCCAATGCTTATTAAATCTAATTTTATTCTAATTCTTCTATTGGAATTTTGAATGTAACTATAGTAACCTAATTCAGTAGACATAATTTCATCCTTCAGTACAATCAGCTAAGGCTTTCATTAAACCATCATTTGAAGAAAAGGGGTAATTTAAATAATGGTGTACGATTCACACAGAATTTTATAGTGGCATTAAACATTTCCACTTATTTATTATTTATTTTCAATACATTTTTACAATACTGCTTTGAACAATAGATGCAGATGTTGATGCAGTTCCATTGAGGATACATACTGACCAACCGCACTCAGTGTGTAGCCCTCAATGGAACTGCATCAACATGGAGGGAAGTATGCCGTAGGGTACCCCAAGGCTCTGTTTTAGGCCCAGTACTCTTCAACATCTTCATCCATGATTTGGATGAGGGGATAGATGGGGAACTCATCAGATTTGCAGATGACACCAAACTGGCAGGAATAGCCAATGCTCCAGAAGATAGGCTTAAGATACAGAAAGATCTTGACAGACTTGAACATTGGGCACTATCTAATAAAATGAAATTCAATGATGAAAAAAGTAAGGTTCTACATTTAGGCAAGAAAAACCAAATGCACAGGTACAATATAAGTGGTACCTTGCTCAATAGTAATAACTGTGAGAGGGATCTCGGAGTCCTAGTGGACAATCATTTAAATATGAGCCAGCAGTGTGCTGCAGCTGCCAAAAAAGCCAACACAGTGCTAGGCTGCATTAACAGAGGGATAGAATCAACATCATGTGAAGTGTTAATACCACTTTACAATGCCTTGGTAAGGCTACACTTGGAAAACTGCATCCAATTTTGGTCACCATGATGTAAAAAAGATGTTGAGACTCTAGAAAGAGTACAGAGAAGAGCAACAAAGATGATCAGGGCACTGGAGGCTAAAACATATAAAGAACAGTTGCTGGAATTGGGTATGTCTAATTTAAAGAAGAGAAGGAGTGTGTTCCAATATCTCAGGGTTTGCCACAAAGAAGAGGGAGTCAACCTATTCTCTAAAGCACCTGAGGGCAGGACAAGAAGCAATGGATGGAAACTAATCAAGGAGGAAAAACAATGCAGAACTAAGAAGAAATTTCCTGACAGTTAGAACAGCTAATCAGTTGTGAAATCTCCAACACTGGAAGTTTTTAACAAGAGATTGGACAACCATTTGTCTGAAATGATATAGGGTTTCCTGCCTGAGCAGAGGGTTGGACTAGAAGACTCCAAGATTCCTTTCAACTATTCCAGTGATGGCAAACCTTTTAGAGACCGAGTGCCCAAACTGCAACCCAAAATCCACTTATGCATCGTTGGGTGCTGGGTGGGTGTGGCCCATTGGCTGGGTGTGGCTCATTGGCTGGGTGTGGCCAATTGGGTGGGCGTGGCTGCGGTGGTAACGGCAGACTGAGTGGGATTAAAAAGTTCAATCAATCAATTCCAACTTTGCAAGATCTTTTTTTTTCCGCGAGAAGTTGAAATTGACTGATTGATTGAACCTTTTTTTTTTGCACATGGCGGCGGAGGCCTAAAGTGAAATGGTTTTATAAAATCCAGCTGAAGGCCTAGGACTGGGGCGACGGCGCGCGTGCCCACAGAAAGGGCTCTGAGTGCCGCCTCTGGCACCCATGCCATAGGTTCGCCACCACTGAACTATTCTATTCTATTCTATTCTATTCTATTCTATTCTATTCTATTCTATTCTATTCTATTCTATTCTATTCTATTCTATTCTATCATTCCAGAAGTGGAGGTAAATCCACTCTTTACAGGCACTTGAATATATCTGCATCAAATCTGCTCCTTCAGAAGTAAACAATTATATCTACTTTAGATATTAAACTAAAACTTAATGTTTGTATTATAGAAAATTACAACAGAAATATTTCATTGCTTTAAAAACATCTTAAGCTTTCCCACGGCTTTAGGGAGAATCTTTCAATAATGAAATTGTCAATAGAAATGGATATAATATATATTAAAATAGCACAATTTTAGTAGCCTGTTCCTAGATGCAATCAGTAGATGAAAATGACAGAATAAAATATTTGGAACCAGCAGCCTGATTGAAAAAAATATAGCAAATATGGAAAGAATGTTTTTCACTGAAATCAAGAGATAAAGTAATCAAGTTCTGAATACATAACTCAACCTTGATCTGAGCATACTGGCTTAATCTAATGGATACAGCTGCATTCAGATAGAACAGCAATTGAAAATACATTTAAGAATTACAAATACCAAAACCTTGAAATCCTTAAGTATGATCATTGGGACCATGGCCTTTGACTCAATAAAGTATACATATACTGTGTTTCTTACTTACTTCTGGCAATTATAGTCAGAATGCAGGTCACCACATGACCGGACCTGATTTTATAACTTTTTTTACGGTGGTTGTTATGCAAATCCATTGTTTGCTCTGTGGTGTTTTTTAACAGAAACTGGAAGTAAACAATGGCTTCCGGAAAAACCATCGTAAAAGATGGTCACATGACTGCTGCAAACATCTATAAATGCGGGCCAGTTGCTGAGTGCTTGAAATATGGTCATGTGACCACCAGGTGGCCAACATCAAAACTTTGAAACCAGGTCATAAGTAGCTTTTTCAGGGTCTGTCATAACTTTGAACAACCAATAGCAAACAGTCATAAGTCTGGTCTAGGTAAGGACTAAACTGTACCACAACACTATCAAAAATCTTCTTCAGCTGAGGGAATCAGAGAAGGGAGATAGAAATTTGGTGTTCCTTACTCCTAAATAAAAATAGGAGCATTCGTTGGGTATATCTAACAAAGAAAAAAAATATTATTTTTTTAAAAAATATCTCAATTTTATTTGATAAAATATTGGAGGAAATAGTTTAAAATCCTATCTTGGCCTTTCAGATTTCAGGAGCTGACAGTGATAAAGATATTATACAGAGATTTTTCTCCTGAAAAAACAAATATTCAATAAGAATAACTTTTCTAAAATGTAAGAGATCAATTGGGCTTTGGAGAAATAATTATTTTTAATTCCCAAACCTAAATTATTCTCTATATTCTTTCAGCAGGCTCTATAGAATATGAAGAGGAGAGCAAAAACTTTATTTCCAAAGATGTAAACTGCATGGGAAGGGAAGGTAGGAGAAAATTCTGCCTCTATGTATACTCCAGCCATCCTGCTCACCTCCCTGACCAGCTCAACAATGCTGCAGAAAAGCCAGACTTGCAATAAGAGCTAGATCTGCATCCCACAGCTTCTCTAATTTTATCTTATAGTGAACATCCCTAAGTAAAAAGGAGTAAGGAAAACAGAATATTGTTGAATATATCCATGATTAATTATGATAAATTCAAGCCGTTAGCCCTCACTTTCATCTCAAGTATGGGAAACAGAAGAATGAAAGAAAATAAAAGTTGCAGGATCATAGCATCCCGAATGTTGAAGGACAGGATGACAGAAGCAGAATATTCATGAAAAATGAAGATGTCTTTTTGGGCACTTGCCAATAAACGGTTAAAAAAATAAATGCCATTTAGTCATAGTTGCTCAACCTATAAAAATAAGCATAAGTCTATTCTTTTTTATTAATCTGCCTATCTTCTATGTTAGTTCCCTTAATAGGACAAATCTATCAATGATTATTACTCGGCACAACTGGTCTTTCACTTTAGCATACTTTTAAATGCTAGGGCTACTCTTATCTAGGTTGCAAACATCTGGACAACTGAATGGCAGCAAAGAAATACAGAAAACATTATAACTGTGTGCAAGAACTCCTGAAGAGTCCTGGCTAGTGACTATTGGAAATAGTATTGGACTTGAATAACCTTTGATTTTGCCAATCTTCATAGCAGTGAAAGAAATATAACGCCAAAACTGAGCAGACTTTTAGGCAGGGGACATAGTTTGTCTATGTCCAGATACTTTAAATGTATTTCTTCTTCACAAAAAAACATGGCAAAAATATTGACAGACTGAAGCCTTCAGATTAAAAAACTGCACCATCGTATCTGGTGTAACACACCTGACAGTCCCATTCTCTCTACGATTTTGCTCATGGGTAAAGTGGTTAAAATGTGGGAGCCTGAAAAGGGAGCTCCAAGATTCAAACCTCTGCAACCACCCAAACCACCCAGTAAGATCTGGGATCATAGTCTGCCTCTTTCCATTGAACTTCCTTGTAGGGTTGTTGTGAAGTAACAGATGGGAAGCCACTCTACAGGCCTCTTGAACACCTTGGCAGAAAGAGGTGAGGTGAAACATAATTAAAAGTAAAGATAAAATAAAGGTCTTTTTGTAAAATTAGCTTGATTGATGGAGATTATATGGATGCATCTATTCTGGCTTCTCTTGAGAAGGCGATTCCTCCTGCCCCGTTTGTTTTCCATTTCCTTTCCATTCTTTTTTAAATGAGCCAAGGTCCACTAAGGACTCACCTAGCTGGGCAATACTCTAATAAAATCCGGAACATTTCCGTTTCTACGGTAATAATGCCATTGTGTAGCATAACTGAACTGAATAAGTAAATGCATAAGACCCTCGCCCTCTCCCGCCTATCTCCCGCGGGCAGCAGAGTCTGGTGCGACGCTTCGCACCTCGTCGAAGAGCCGGTAGATGCAGAGGCCCTGGACGTTGGTGAGGAGCTGCCAAGAGGGGTCGGGGCGCCCGCCAGGGCTGACCAGCTCCCTGGAAATGGCCAGGAACTGGTCCTCGGAAAAGACCCCGCGCGACTGCTCCGGCCTGCGGAGGTGGGCGGCCGAGGAGGAGGCCGCGTTGCCGATGCTGCTTCGGGACATCCCCACCGAGAAAGGGCAGGCGCAGGGCTCGCCGCCCTCGTCCTTGGCCGACGCCTTCAGGAGGCCTCCCGGGCGCCTCCGGACCAGGCTGCTGAAGATCTCCGGCGGGCACATGGCCCGGGCCCAAGCAGCATCGCCGGCGGAGCTCCTGGCGCGCGCAGCTCGGCCTGGCCCGGCGCGGCGTAACGGCTGCACGAGGGGCGCGCGGGGACCTGGGTTCGAATCCCCCTGACGCGAGGGGCAAAATGCATCGGGCCGATGAGGGAGACGAAGAAGGAAAGACTCACTGGAGGCGGGAGGGTCACGGGCCCCCGAGTCTGCCCCCTCGCCGTAGCTCGCGTGATCTGGGGGAAGGAGATCCTCTGGGAGAGCTCCCCACCAATAACGACCCCTTCCCCAGTGTCATGTTTCTTCGGACGGCTCCTGTCAGACGACCTAGAAAAAGTGTCCTGGTTGTTAGAAGCAAAGGCCTCTAAGGGGCTTAAAAAGAATTGTCAGCCAGGATTACTCTTGCGCGGTCTGTAAACTGGGCTAAAAGCCAAAAGTACAACAGATCTAAGTAGCTCCTTTCATCCAAGAATAATTGCCAACGGGTCATCACAGTTCAGTCAGACACTTTGCCCAGGAATCACTTTGATGGACTCTGTTCCCATGACACGCTCCCTTAATCCAATTCCGAGTCTGTATGTATGACATATGCAACCGTAAACTAACCACATGGCTTGAGTTTCCANGAGCAGACTTTTAGGCAGGCAAAGATTTGAATGTCCTGAAATTGGGAAGCAATGTGAATATTTTTTCCTTTGGAGGAGCTAACCCCAAGAGGTAACATGGACCCCATCTCTTTTAATATTTTGGACTACTGTAAGGACCTGGCTTTTCCAAAGGGATAGAAAGAGACTGTGATGATTTGCTCCTGAGATGGAAATTTTATTATTAATGTGATAATGGATGCTTGTTAATGAGGATTTTTAGAGCTCATTTTACCAATTATATTGTTAGGATTTATATAAATAAGTTCAAGTGGTTCTCGTTCAGTGATTGCCTCGGACAGCAACCCTTTACAATTACAGTAGTGATGAAAACATAATTTTACAACCAGTCCTCATATTTATGACCTTCACAGGCCTGTATATCAAAAGAAAGCTGAAGTAAGATCAAAAGCACAGTTGTGATTTCACTTAGTGATTACCCCATTTAATAACTGAGTTACTGTCCCAACTGCAGTTGGTAAATGAGGACTATCCATTTTATATGGTACTTTAAGGAATTTGTCAGTAGTTAAAACTATTCTGGTGAATTCCTCCATAAGGAATGGCTCTGTTACACACCTTAAATAGTAGTCATATTCACTTGGTTATATTAATTTTATGCCAAAGGGCAATGTTGCTACAGCAATCCTCAACTTACAATCACAATTGGGACCAGAATTTTGGTCACTAGGCAATGTGGTTATTAAACGAGATGCCCACATGACTGCTTTACTCAACAAATGCAATCCCAGCTCTTCTAGTTGCGGTCATTGTACAACCGTATGTGTTGTTAAGTGGACAGAGGGAAATAGCTGCTTGCCAAAGGACAGCAGCCGCCCTGAGTCCTGTGGGGAGAAGGGCGGCATATAAGTCTAATAAATAATAATAATAACTCAGTGCACAGAAAGGAATTCCAGTGGCAGGCCGTGGAAAGGAAATTCAGATCATGAAGAGCAGAGCTTCATTTCTCCAGCCTGCCGGCTTCTCCGCTGACTTTCTGATGAAGCCAGCAGAGAAGATTGCAAATAACAATCACATGATCACAGGGTGTTTGGCATTCAGTTGTAAGATCAAACAGGTTGCCAAGTGACTGAAATGTGACTGCAGGGGGCAGGGCACTATCGTAACTTTGAGGACAGGTCGTAAGTAGCTTTTTAAGAGTCGGTTGTAACTTCGGTTGTTACATGATCGGTCAGCAAGGACGACCTGTATGCAAAACATAAGAACAATTCCTTTGAAAACATCCAGAATCCTGTTTTTAAATGGCTGATTATCATAAGCATTATTTGTATTCAGAAAGACTTTTAGTGAAGAGCCAAAGATATGCATATGATTGGTTAAAAGCATAAAGCAACAATTGCAAGATGAAGTGGGAAATTTCATTTGCTTCAAAAGACACAACGTGACAAATTGTGAACCTGCTTAACCCAGTAATTAAAGCCTAATCCTATAATTAAACATCTTAATTATTTTGGCAGTAATTGGGTATGTGCCAGTTTCTGCATTCAAAAAGGAAATATGTGTACCCTAAGGTACACCTAGTATAGCTCTAAGGAGCATGTTTTGGAAAAAATCCATTTCATAAAGAGCAGAAATTGCCCTTAATACTGTTACATGCAGAAAACAAGGAACTAGCACTTAAGCAAATCAGTAAATATTACATAAGATTAAAACAGAATTCTTTTAGATAAAATCATTAAAAAAGGATTTGACTGTATACTGTTAGGCAGAACACAAAGGAGCTTCCATTTTCTTCATTGAGATAATGACATAGGAAATGTGAAAGGAATATAACAAGGACATGTTCAGAATGTTAATTTGAAATTAGTCATACCTGCAAGTTTCTATTTTCTATATGTTCATAAGACTTTTCTCATTTGCATCTCATTGTAATCTTGACAGCTTGGTCCTTCCTTTCTTCCTTCATTTCTTTCTTCCTTTATTTTGGTGTATCCTTATGAAGCTGCCTCATCTGATCCGAAATTTAAACTAGGACAAAGTATTACTCACTCCCTCCAGGTCTCTATTCCAGAGTTATTCTCTTCTGTGTAGTAGAAAATTCTACTTCTTTCAGACCAGCCTATCCCCAAAGACCACCAGGTACAGGGAATATATAATTTAGAGAGAGCATAGGGAAGGGTTATAGACAGTTGTTGGCTATAACATAACCTGTGCACCAGAGGTCCCCAACCTTTTGGGCACCAGGGACCAGTTATGCTTTTCTGTGGACCAGAGGGGGCATGGTTTTGTGTGGTGCCTGCATCCCGCAGATGGGGCTATGCTTGTTTTTGTGGCCCGGTTGCTGGCATGCCGCGGCCCAGTACTAATCCATGGACCAGGGGTTGGGGACCCCTGCTGTACACTATAAGGACAGAATAATTTGCTCCATTGTACCTATGACAATATAGAGGTTACCAGTGGAGGAGCAGATTTTTATGTCAGTTTAGTTTTCTGCTGGCAGAACGAGTGGTAGGTAGCATTTTTAACTCAATAATCCTCTATCTCAGCACCAAGATGTCTCTTTGAATCACACTTTGGGATACTTTGTGTAACTGCTTGCTAACCTCTGTTGTGGAGTAACGGCTACATATTTTTTAAAGTTTTAATTAAACATCTTTTCAAAAACACTCTTAGAGCAAAAATGATCATTGTCACTTTGGTCTGCTGAAATTGCCAAGCAATTTCTCATTGCAAAAGAATTGGAAAGAGGTGTTTATTCTTCAGTAAATCTCTTTACACTGGCATATTTCAAAAACACTGGATCTTCAAAAAATCTTTTCTTTTGTTGACATTCTTACAAAGCACATCATAATTATGAACAGTTACACCCTCTCAGAATTGTTCATTCTCCAGGAAAAGAGCCCTTGTTTTGTTAATAAGAAGGAGGTACTAGTTTTATTGCATCTGGCAAATGGTATCTTAAGAAATTAAAGATTTGCTCCTTATGCTCACATTCAGACCTTTTTATTTTGCCTTCTGGCCCTGCTGGGAGTATCCTATTCTGAACATCCTATGGTACTTACTGAAGAATAAACACCTCTTTCCAATTCTTTTGCAATGAGAAATTGCTTGGCAATTTCAGCAGACCAAAGTGACAATGATAATTTTTGCTCTAAGAGTGCCATTATTTTTTAATAAATGATCATATACAGTAAAAGTAAATTATTGCCATCGCTCTCTCTCTCCAGCCATTTATTTTTCAGAAGGCTGTTTCATTATTGCATCCTTGGCTACCTCCCCAATTTGGGGGATGGTTTGTCTTTTTCAGTTGACAGCCAACATTTTGAACATATTGAGAAGTCATGTCTTCACAGAAAACACACAACAGCTGTTTCACATCCTTACTGGCTTTGTTCTCATTACTTTTTTGGGGGGGGGGGGTCTTTGACTCAGTATGAACTCATGGCAATTGCCTGGACTGGTTCCTGCTATTTTTACTGGTAAGATTTTTCAGAAGTGGTTTGCCCTTGCCTTCTTCTAGAGCTGAGAGGGGTGGAGTGGTCAAAGTCACCCAACTGGCTTTGTGTCCAGGGCAGTACTAGAATACATTGTTTCCTGGTTTCTACCCTAGTGTCTTAACCAATACACCAAACTAGCTTTCTCTCATGAATGCTTAGTCATTATTAGCTCATGTTTATTCATTTAACCCATTTTCACAACTTGCACATCATATTGAGCCCTCACCAACTACATGAACTGAGCTTGTTCAATATGCTAAGCTAGAATATGGTTGAGTAGTTCGTGAGTCAGTGTGACACATGCACGTTTGTTGGGAATTAAAGAACCCAACATCTTTTGATCAGTAGCATATTAAAACATGTAGAGCTCTTCATATGTACCCCTTCCTTTTCTTCCAAAGAGTTGGAGACATACTGATTCTTCTGCCTCCTTATTTTTCTTTTTCTTTCATAGCACCCTTCTGAGGGTGATAAGTGTGTAAAATAATGACTGGTGCAAAGCTACACAATAAGTGAAGAGTGACCCAAGATGTTAGCAGAAGGGACAAGAGATGTTATGGATGTTAGCAGAAGGGACAAGAGATGACAAATAATGGAATATCCATGCACCATATATGATGTGATCAATGCATATTTTATAATTGAAACATTTACACAGTAACATATACAAATGTCACCATTTAGATGTAACTGTGGTTGTAAGTGACACCTAGGGCCTAGAAGTAGGAAATATGCATACGGCTCCCAATAACCTGTGCCAGCCAACCAGCCTGTCTAATTTTTTCCCCATTATAGCTAGGAAGCAGGTATATACAAGATGGATATCAACAGATACAATATAACATCTGATAATTTTTATAAAGCCCGAGTGTAAATCATCATAAATGACCATAGAAAGTAAAAGCAAATCATTGCCAATTTCAGAACAGCTGTGGTTTCCTGAAAGGTACATAATTATTCAGATGATTGATTGCAGGAGGGGACTCGACCTTGTTTCTATAAGGAGATACTTTTGCCCATGACACAGTCTCCTGGAACCTTTCTCCAAACGAACAATTCTCAGTTTCCCTGCTGTTGTATTCTTTCATTAGCAAATGATGCATCTGCTTCCCCAGGCGCCCCTTTGTGGTGATTTCACTGAGACCACCCAGAATTAGTAAAAGTTTACCCTCCCAGCAGCTTGTTCCCTCCAAGAACCCTTTTCATTTAATCTTGTGAAATTGACTCCGGTCCCTTGATATTTTTTTTTTTTAAAAGCTCTGGCTCAGCCGTTTGTTTACCATCCCTAGCTTCCCCCTCTTCGGAGTGCTCTGGGCAAGTGTACGTTCAGTTCTTCGCTGATCGAGCGGAGGTAAGCTGCTCACCCGGCTCGGTTTTGGCTCCTGGGTTGGATTTAAAGGGAGAACTAGTGGAAACTTTTCCGGGCATTAGACTCCCCCCCCCCCTTCCTAAATAAGCTTATCTTTAAAAAGTAACTCCGGTTCTCGGTTATGAGAGGGAACTAGAGAGGAAAACCTCGAAAAACGACCATAGAGCACCGGGGAACTTTAGGGGTGGGATATTAAATGCAATCGGGATTTTTAATGTGCCTTCCCCCCCCCCTTTTGTTCCTCAATAGCTGTAGGCAGTTTTTTTGTTTTTTTTTTTAAACTTTTAAAAGGATAAGTGCTTTCAGATAGGTTTTTCCCTTTCCCTCAGATCTCTCCTTAGGCTACATTTCCCCGGCATTTAGAGATATGACACTATAGCAATCGAAACTCTTCTATAACCGCGCTGCTTTCTTTCAGTCTTAATATTGAAATAAGCGGCCCGCGATATTTTTTATTCATGCATTTATTCGTCCGTTTGACTACAGACGATGAGCGAAGGGTTTGATTTACCACCCTGGCCCCGCTTTCCTCACTGCTAAATTTCCAAACCGCGTTGCCTTGCATTATAGGATCTGAATTTTTTACAATGGGGCTTAAAGACAGGCGTGTAAAAGTTTGGACCGCACAACCGGAACTAGCTTTTGGAATCGTGTTACACAGATCCCGGGAATACCTAGGGAAGGGCAGGGATAGTAATAGGCAAAATCCTGTGGATTTTCTTTTTCTTGGAGACTCAGGTCTCGATAACCTTCTGAAATGCAGCTGAATATAGTGGTCTAATTTGCATTTAAGTGTTACTTGACCATCCTGAGGTTGATGTCTGGACTGTTGGAGGTGGTGTGTCATTCTGTACCTCAGCTAGGTCAAGTGTAGTTGAATTATTTTTTTTTTTTAAAAAAAAAGCAAGATGCACTTAGATGAATGTTAAATTGATGCCTGGATTGGAGAATGCAGCAATGATTCTCAGCACACAAATTGAATTGTATGTCTACACATGATGAAGTCTATTAAAGGATCTCATGCTAAAACGGGTGGTTGTGTGTGTGTGTGTGTGTGTGTGTGTGTGTGTGTGTGTGTATAGAAGGCAAGGAAGCAGCAGATAGATTGTTGTCTGGGTTTCTGTGCTGAAGGATTTTTTGGTTCTGGTTTTCTTACCCAACAGCAGGTATGTATATATTTTATTTATAGCTTTTAAATACAGATAGGAGAGAAAATTTGATTTCTTATAATATTGTCATGCCATCGAGGTTGTACATGATGTTTTGGAAGTAAAACTCCTTCAATGAAGCAGAGCTTCATATAAATGCTATATTCAGCAAGGTTTTCAGTTCTTGATCCATCATTAATATTACTGTGTTTCACTTTACTTTTTTTACTTTACTTTAAAGAATCTAGCCTTGAACATTCCTGGAAGCCATAACTTTCTTTTTAATCTTCTTTCCACAAAATGTCACAGTTAATACTTAACAGTTCTTTTACTTTTTTTCAATTCTTCAAATAATCTGGGGCTATATTTCATCTGGGATTGGGATTTTCTAAAATATTGTATAAACAACTCCCCCTCCCCATCTGCTATTACAATCTCTGCTAAACATCACTAAGGATGACAAATGGATTGATACTAGTCGGGATGTAGAAGTACCTGAAAGTTGTGCAGTTTAGTTAAGATAAGTTGGGATAGAGAAAATGTTGGAGGCAGCAAAGGAATGAATAAAGAAAGGTTTACAAAAACAGACTGGAATTGTTTTCTCTGGAATGAAAGATCAAAGGGGAAAGCTGTTTTTGCAAGAAGATAATTCCCCGGTACAGGCTCTGTCCCTAAAGTCACTCATGCTTTAAAAGTTACAAGTCTTGTCCAACCAAAGATAGGAAGAACATTTAACAGCACTGTTAGTATATGGAGAATCATACCTCTTTCAAGATTGTGACAATCCTGGTGTTGTCTCTTTCCATCCTTGGGCAGAAAAATACTGTATGTCCTAAGAAAAACACAGAAAAAGTCAGGAAATATTGAAATGAGGATCTCATGGCAGGAGGGATGAGGAAAGAAGGCCAAAAGATCATTTTCTAGGGTCCAAGTTTCTTTGGTTCATAATAGCAAGACTAATTATTAATTTTAAGATTGCTCTATATAAAGTGTGATCTTTGTAAATGCATACAAGCATATGGACTTGTGAACTGATAACAGTTAGAATAGAATAGGAGATTCAGGTACAGAATCACAAGTATATCTATTCTCTTGATTAGAAATAATGACTTTTTTTAAAAAAATACTGGAGTTAATTAGATGAACAAGGTTTACATTTTTTTTGCTTGTATGATTTTGATTATTTTTGAATACTTCACGCAGACACTGGTCATGCTCATAGTTTGGGACAGGCTTATACAAAATTTTACTCAGTGATGCTATGAATTAAACTCAGTGTTTTGGGCATTCAAACTATATGCTCTACCACAGAATAATGGCCCTCCTTCTCTTTAGTTTTCAGAATGTGGTAAAAGCTGCCAAACTATTCAATATCTGGCTGTTCCATGGTTGTAGTGGGTGTGTACTTCAGTACATTATAAATCTATCTGGCTTTCACGCCAATGTCCTCTGTATTGATGGAGTTTGTATTCTGCAATAGTGCTAAATCAGACATCACAGGACAGGGCAGATGTGATTTTCTTTGCCCTCACTATAGGTTCAGTTGACTGGCCTAAGAGTATAGTATTCAAGGAGCTTTGTGGCCAACTGAGGATTGGCTGAATGACTGGATGACTGTCCAGAAGCTCAACTGAACAACTGTTCAGGAGCTCAGCTATTTCCGTATTTTATGTATTTTGTACATCATAAATAATGTGTACAAAAATGGATCTCAGCTACTAAGTCTTCTGCTCAAGCATCCTTTATATTTGAGAATCAGTTTCTAATAAGTTGTCTTGGGATAAGCTATAGATATTTCAGTTCTCCCTTAGAGCTCTGCTGTATTTAACTAGTTTCAGAGGTGATGAAAGCCATGTAAGAATGTGAAGTTACCATAGCTCATTCTGTGCTTTTGTTTGAGTCAAGTTTGTCTTGGGTGATACTTTTATGTAGTTGTAATATTAAGAAATTAGACTTTGCCAACATCATTTTAACTGGAATGGCAGGACTATGGCATGCATTTGTTTAATTAAAATATTTGGCAGAATGTTGGGGTATACCTTATGTGTTTAGACAGAAAATAATTTAAGTAATAATGTGTATAGCAACACCTAGACAATTCAAAAAGTCTGGCATTAGAATGATCCACATTCCCCCTATAGCAGTTGCCACACAGCCACACTTAGCAACCTTCTCGGCTAAGAGCAGCCCACAAGCAGGAAATATACATCTTCCTCATTTGACTAATCCAGTCAGCTAGCTAGCAGGGACATTATAAATATGAAGTGTCATAAGTGATACTTGAAATAAGCCTGTTCATCCTTGAAAAGAGGAAAGAGATGATCTTTTAGGGAGCTGTGATTTTATCTGCACTTCAGAAGCATAAATACTGTACCTTTAACCTGTGGAAAAGCTATTCTTTGCTTTGGCAGCACACACACACTGAAATTGGATTTTATTGAACATGTCTAGTCCAAAATTTTGTCTGTCTTTCAATTCTGTGAAATATAAGGACTTTATAACAGGTCAGATAATCTGTCTGTTTAGCTCAGGATTGGGTTTTCAGAAAATTCTCAAAGCTTTTGGAAATAAGAGATCTTTCATAGAACTACTTGCCTAATCTTTGAAATATGAAAGAGAATTTAGGATATATTATCAGTGTGCAAAGCCACAGTCTATGCATTTAAACCTTTTCCTAAGGGAGCCAAGATCTCTAAAAGGTTTTGTAAATCTGAATCTCCTTTTATTAAACTGAATGTGAATTTTATGTGTAAGAAAAAGAAAATGAGAGAGAGGGAAAGAGCAAGAGAGCAAGAGAGAGCACATAAGAACTGTTAACGGCATTATTACTCCTAAACATAAAGCAAATTATGAGAGGAGGATATCCACCCACCCCCGCCGCCCATGAATTACAATCTTCAAAATAACACCTGTGCATTTTTTTTTCTATTCTGCCACTGCAGATGTCTTACTGCTATATAGCAGCCATCTATGGGCAAGCGTTGTCTAGATGTGTGCACTACATTTCCCATCACTACAAGCCAGGGGCTACCCTAGCTGCAAATGATGGGAATTATACTCCAATGCATCTGAAAATACCAACTGGAGTCATGTTGCTATTGAAAGTTCAGTCTTGTACTCTTATACAAGAAAATATTTTAATGTTAATATTCAAGGCTGTGTTTTTGAATACATCATTGACAATTACAGTGAGGATATCTGTCGTCAGAAAACAGGATCAGCCCAGCATGGTATTTTGATCCACTGCAGGTAGTAGGGAGGCAGTTATCCCTCTATCTGTTCCTCACATTTCTTGCTAGCTTGGTCTGAGGCCTTGGCCTGCAATGTTGAACTGGCCAAAGTGTCCTCTAGAGCCTTTCAGGCAGAGAAGAGGAATGTTGAGTAAGCTTAGTAGCAGATCTTTTGCAGGTTCAGAAGGTTAACCTGACTGCCTTGTGGTTTCACAGCTGTTGCTCTAGCTGACACCGCTTTGGCTCTTCCTTGCTTAGGGAAATCATGGAAAGCGTCAATCTGGGATGTAGCTGTTAGAAATGCAGGTGTTCAAGAAAGCTTGTCATTTTAAATGGGATCCGCTTGAAAGAGAGCAAAGAGGAGGATTGACCTTTTTTCTTCTTCTACACACTGAAACTGACAAGATCTTGCTTTCAGGACTGAGCAGGACAACCACCTGCCTCCATACCCGAAGCAACAAGTCGACTTAGCGAGCTAAGAAAAAACAATGAGGGACACATCTCTTTCTAACCTCACCATAACCTAAGATAGCATGGAAGAACAGGATGGCAAGCTGAGAAATTGGCATCTTGCTCCTACTACCTGAAGTAGTTTCTCATTTTCCTTATGGACAGGGCTGTCTATAGGTAGAGTCTACTTCACAGAGAGAAATGCAAGTGTTTTATTTTAAATGCTGTGTGAAGAGAAGCTGCTCAAGTGATTTGTGTTTCCTGTTCCCTCTGGATCGCTGTCATATTCGAGGCCTCTCTGGTCAGATGAGCCAGGCTGAAAAAATTCTTTGGAGCAGTTGATGAGGAACAAACAAGGATGAAGTTACCAGATCAAATGGCATAAATAATGGAGCTTCTAGAGCTCTGGTGTCTATTCTATGGAATTCTAATCTGGTGGGCTGAATAATGTTGAACTCTTCCAAAGAAAGGTAATTCCCTTGAAAAGGGAGATAACTGGTAGTGTTTACTTCCTGGTTTTTTTTCTTTTAATGAACAGGATTTAATTAACAAAAATCCACCAAAACTAGTTATTTTCTTTTTAATTTGATTGATGTATGTACTTATTTGTCATATATTGCCCTGCCTTAGGAGCTGTTAGCTATAGTCTGACTAATAAATTTTGCACTGCATACTTTATTTAGTAAGCAGAAATCCTGAATGAATATATATATATATACACACACACACCTACATATAAATATTGTGTGTGTGTGTGTATACACACACATAAATGCGTATGTACAGTAAGTGTGTGTGTGAAAAAGTTTATGCTTTTGCTTATATTGAATATTCCTATCATTTGTGTAACTTCACACTTTTCCAGTTATCATTCTATCCAATTTCTTTTCTCTAGGTCTCACTGTAGAGTGTCTGGTTTTCACAAGAAAAAAACAACTAAAACACTTAGAAGCCCTCAATTTTTGCTGTTCATCAACTGATTTGGAGAATAAAAGTCTGATTTTTGGAATAAACCTTCACCGTTGCTTGCTAAAACAAGCCATGATAAATGTTTTACAGAAGAGGTATGTGGGAGCTGGCTATTGCTTGTGTGCATGAACAATAATAAATCATTATGGTCTTAGATCAGAAATAAAAAATGTGCATCACTATAACTCAATATCTGAAGAAATAAATACAAATGTATCATTCAATAAGCTTTTTAAACGTGTGTTAATATTAAGATGAACAATCTCTTCCCTATATTTCTTATCCATTTATGTTATAATACAACATTTGATTTGTACAACCCTAATTTGTATTCTATCACAAGGACATTTTTTTTCTGTTCTGATTTGAAGAAATTTTGATATTCACACTTGCCCCATGGAAGAGGAAAAATACAGAACCATGCATTTGCAAAAAAAGAGAAAGGAAGAATGCATTATAAGTCATATTTAAAGAATGAAAGTGGCACTCCAACGTGTGTATTATCTTGATTTTCTCACTCTCAGTTGCTAAACAGTAATCTTTCTGAGGGGAAATAACTTGCTTAGAAAACTTTGCAGAACGTGACATACATTGATGCTGCTGAATGGATAATAAGTTGTTAATAAAAATATTGAGGCCTCTGTGTTTAAGGATACCTTTAGTGTTCTGAACTGAGGAAGTGACAGCAGTATAGATATGGATAGTAAAGATGATATGGTATAATAGCTTAACTCAAGTTTTTTTATTGTGGTATGCAACAGACATATGACACTTGCACTGTAATTAAACCAGACCTGTCATAAAAGGATATCCAAGAGATTATCCAATTGACAACCAAGCTTGTAATCTCTAGGTTTGTTTTGAGGTTAACCTCATAGCCTGTATTGCTCACTTTTAGAGTTGACTAGTTTTCTTTTTTCTTCTTTAGAAAGCAAAACGTTATTCATTTTTATTTGCTTTTTTAAAAGATCAGATATACAGAAACTTATTTGCCAAAAATATTGGAGAGCTACTATCAGAAGAAATGATACTCGGATAGATGGATAATCTATGAGTCACAGCCCCAGCTCATGTAGGAGTTCATGTGTTAGATTTGATGATTGCTTGGAACAAATGTGATATATAAATGTTAACACCTGCCTTTTAATGTGGTCAGATAACTAATTGCTATGAATCTGGCCAGCAGTACCAAACAGGAGGATAGACTCATTTGATTGGCCTGGCCCAAGAGCATAATGGATCTACTTGGTTTCCAAAGAATGCTTGGAGGGATTTCTAAACACTGGTGGGTCCCTGTGCTGAAGTGTTGCTCTCCAGCTGGGAATACTTGGACAGCTGCAATTTTGCATAGAATTACACCTAGGTAGCTTCTTCCCGAACACCAGTTCATGAGAATTCCTTGGCTTACTGAGAAGCTCCAGGAAGTGAAACAGCAGAAGAGACACCTAAAGCAACGTCAGGAACAGACAAAGAGCAAGCCTTCCTGGATCTTATAAGAGTGTAGCTTGAGCTTACATGTGCTAATATGAGTGCTAAAATATTTATCTGATCTTACTCATCCATAGTTTGCTATTCAGTAGCCTCTTTAAAGTTACCCTTACCATATTAAGTAAAGATGAGAAAGATAAAATCACTCAAATCCACTTGGAACTGAGTGCTAAGTGGGCAGATCCTATTGAGGTAACTAAGATTGTTCCTTGCAAGGTTAATCCAGAGAATTTGATTCTTTTGGCTCTGAGGAAGAGGACAATGTTTTTCACAGTATTGGTTCTGCCACCTGTGGTTTGGATATCTATCGATCTGCTTGGTGAAAACCTCCAAAGAGCTATCAGGTGGCTGGGCCTGGGTAGTGGTTAAAATACCCTTGAGAGAGGCAGTAGTACTCCCTGTCTTAAAAAAGGTAGTAGTGTACTTTCTTCTTAAGAAGCTATCACTTAATCTAGCTCTATTTGGATAACTATTGTCCAGTCTCTAACATTCTCTTTTTTGGAAAGGATATCGATAAGATTGAAGAACAGTGGAGGACATAGACTGTCTATATTTTTTTCAGTCTTATTTCAGGCCTGTAAATGAGCCTGGGATAGTAGAAGTGTGACTCTCTTGGTCTTGCTGTACCTTTATATGGTTTTTGATACCTCTGTTTATTGTAGCCAAACTTCAGGAGTTACTGTAGGGGACATTGTTTTATTGCGATTTTCCTCCTTCCTGAAGGGGAGTTTTCAGTCAGTAGTAATACTTGATACTTCACCCCTCCTATTTAATATCTACATGAAGCTGCTGGGGGAGGTTATTCATTGGCATGGAGTCACATATCATCTGTATGCTGATGATGCTTAGTTATATATCTTGACATTGGGCTGAACAAGAAGTTTTGTCCTAGTCCTTGAAGGTTAATTAGGATCTGGTGAAGAAGGAACAGACTCAGGTTCAACCCTGACAAAACAAAGTAGCAATGGACATGGAGAATTTTCAGTACCAGAGACATTCCATCTTTGGTTTTACTTCATTTTTTGGAACTGGTTCATAATCTGATAGTCCCTCTGGACTTCCAGCTTTTGACAAAGAGTCAATGGCAAATCTGACCAGGTTACATTTGGTATGTCAGATGATCTCAAGACTGGCAGACATTATTCTGGATCACTTGTACCTTAGCCACTTATTGGCTGCGATATATGTGGGGGGGGGGGGCCTTGAAGAGCATCCAGAAGCTCAGACTGATTCAGAATGCATTGACTTGAATCGTGGAGAAAGCCTTACGTATCTCCCAAATAACACTTCTATTTCAAGAGCTGCATTGGATGCTCATTCTTTTCCAGGTATTATTCAATGTCATCTTTAAAGGCCTCTATGGCTTAGAGTTGGTTATTTATGGGATTGTCTTCTTCTATGGTAGGATGAGCTCTCTCTTTTAAGGGTTGTCATTTTAGACGCTGAAGGAATGAATCTTCTCAATCCCAGATTTCATTTTTGGAGCAGCAGATTCCAAAAATTAGGTTGTCCTCTGTTTTGTTGGTTTTGAGAAGGGCCATTAAAGCATGGCTTTTCAAGAGCACCTTGAGTTGGAATGGATATCAGTAGTGAGCCTCTCTTGCTATGTATTTCTTTTCAGAAGATGATGTGGCTGGTCCTTGACTATTGAAGTTATTCTACCTGTAATCCTTATTCCTTTGTGTGCTGTTGGAAACACATCTCCCTGAGTCATGCCATGTAATATTTAAACAATTGCATTGGTAGGTCTTACTAGATTATAGCCATATCATGAATATAAAATGCGAAGTGTTTTTATCTTACTGATAAAGAGACTGCAAGATGGATTTTATCAAATACACCTTTGATTACCGTATATATTTATACAATATATAATATGTTGGGAACATTGGGTGCATCCTTTTGAGATACTTGGACAAATATTTTAATTTAAACTTTTTGTTGGCATTTTTACTGTTGGTTATGACTGAGAAAATAGTTGTCCTCTTAAATAGAATTCTTTTTTTCTCAAGGTTTGTCCAACAGAAAAAGTTGTGAAGAACGGTGCTTGATAGCTGATATTATCCATTAAATATATAACATTTTCTTTAAATATTGTCACTATTGTTAAGCTGTTTAGATTCTCAGTATAATTGGTAGTTTGTGTCTGTGGGTCTCTACCTATAGGACTGTTGGTGTCTGTGGGTTTCTGTCTGTAGGACAATCTGGCCATTCAATATTTCAATACAGATACAAGATCTTGAACTGGAAACTCTGCTGCTCATAGCCCTTTCTCTTTTTGTTATATATTATACTCGGGTTGTTTATATCTTTATAATAGAAACCAGTAAAAACTTATTGCTACATCTATACCAGGGATAGGCAACCTTGGCTCTTCTATGACTCGTGGACTTCAACTCCCAGAATTCCTGAGCCAGCATGGTTGGCTCAGGAATTCTGGGAGTTGAAGTCCACGAGTCATAAAAGAGCCAAAGTTGCCTATCCCTGATCTACACTATAGTAGGATAGAGAACCAGTTTAATATAGTGATTAAGGGATAGGGCTAGAAACCAGGAGACTGTGAGTTCTAGTCCCTTTTTAGGCATAAAGCCAATTGGGTGAGCTTGGGCCAATCATTCCCTCTCAAACCTAGGAAACAGGGAAGTGGGTTAATTTAAAATGGGAATAAGCTTACAAAAGGTAGTATGCAGTAGTTTCTATAGACTGACTCACCACCCAAAAATTTGCTGTAAGAATTAAAATTGGCCAGTGATGATAAATGCCTGGAAAACAGTGTTAAGCAATCTTTAATGTTTCTGTGCCTTAGGAGATTGCAAAATTACGATTTTGCTTATTTGGGCTATATTTTGTACCAATTAATGACATCTATTGATTTAGACAAAGTATCGGGCATGAAAGGTTGGTGGGTGTAAATGAGTATGGAATGCAACAGTATTTTTTTTATTAAAAAAACCAAATCTGCATTTTGGGAATATGGAAACCATATTTCCCCCTTTATTTCTGAATGAAAAATAATCTTTATTACAAAGTAAATTAAAAATAAGTATTCAATTTTTGATGGCCATGGTGTGGTGTGTGTGTGTGTGTGTGCAAGTACAGTAAGCTAGTTCATTCATAAGGCAGAGGCTACGTATTCTAAACTAAAATGTCTAATATTAAATAAAAATCTACAAACCTTGTTATGTGATTTTTACTTTGCAAATGGCACCTTTCAACGGGGAAATGGAGAGCCAGTCTGATGCGATAGTAAAGGTGCTGGCCTAGAAACCAGGAGAGTGTGAGTTTTAGGCCTCCTTTTAACATGAAAGCCAGCTGGGTGACTTTGGGCCAGATCCTTCTCTCGGCCCAACCCATATCACAAAGTTGTTGTGAAGAAAATAGGACTTGGAAAAATTAGGTATGTTTGCTGCCTTAAATTAATGAAATATAAAGATGAGATAAAAATCTAAGAATAGTAGTAAAATAGACATTCAATGGGGTATAGCACTATGGTAGCATCACTCCAGTCCCGCTGTGCTAGATTAATTCACGTTCAGTTATTCTCCAAAAACAGGAATGAATATTTCATTAAAATATTTTTATGCTGAGATTATTCCTAATTAGGGTATAAATAAGGGTGTTGGTCTAACAGGTATTTGATTCCGTTGCCTTAAATTGGAAATATTTTTCTCCTTCTTACCTCTTTCCCATTGAGTTTTCCAGGCTGATCAGGTCATACCTGGGAAAGTCCCCGTGATTTTGTAAAAGCCAAAATTAGCAGGTGTTATAAACAGTCATGCTCTCTGCTTTTCTTCTATCTGAAGGAAATGACTGTTTGCAAATGACTAGTCACTAGGAGAAGGCTGCATATACAAACAGTAGGGGATCAGTTTGCTTTGTGTGAGCTATGCAGTCTAATAGCCTGAAAAATCACAAATAATTTTGTACTTTCATTGCTGGAAAGTGTCTTAAGGTTTGGAAAGGCCCAGAGTAAATGTTTTCAATAAGTAAAAGATACCTGCAAAATATATTAGTTAGTTTGATTGAGGCACTAACCTGAACAAGTTAAAACTTGACAATTTTATACCAACTCTTTCTCTCTCTTTTTCTTTCCTTGATTTAAATAGGATCACTGGAAGCCCTCAGACTAAAAACAAAATCAAATTTTAAGTGATATTCCCAGATCAACCTATATTGCTTTACTTTTTTTCAAACCCAGTCTGAATCAGGAACTTCAGGATTAATTAAACAATTCCTCAGCAGTCACTACAAAGGAACATAATATTAGGTTTTTAGTATGTTCTATTAAAAATCCAAAATTGTATAAATAACTTAAAATACATTAATCTGAATTGAAGCCAGTGAAATTTTGTAGACAAGGAACGTTCTATATTTGGATCACCACAGCCAACCAAGCCCTTCCCAACAGTCCTACATAACATATACTATAAGTTATAAAGAAGAGCAAGGGCCATTGGAAGAAGTGATCTACCACTGTTCATGGAGGAAAAAAAGTTCTTCAGCAGAGGACCTTCCCTTCACTTGCTGTCTGATACATTGTGTAACTAGAGAGACCAGAGGTTGTACCTGGGATCTTTTTACCCTGCATGCAAAATACTATGGATGTGTTATAGAGCAAGTTGGAACTATCCCTGTCCTGTAGAGGAGATGTAGAAGAAATTGCTGGCCTTGACACTTTTTTTGTATCTTTTAATATTATGATACCATTCATGCCATAATATTTAAATGAAACCAGTTGCACTTACGTTGAACTATTCCAACGATTATTACAGAAGTTAACAAAGAATTCCTGTTACCTTCAAAAAATATTTCCTTATGCCGTTTTTGCTACTCTAAAGTCTATACTCTTAACTCACATTTGTTGAATTACTACAAATGAATCACTATAAAATTTTAGTAGAGAAATGTCTGAGATTTAAATTAAAAATGTAGAAACACAGAAGATGGCTCCGAATTACATTTGAAAGGTTCATTTTCTCCCAGCTTTCAACATAGGCAAATGACAGAACTTGCCAATTACTCCCAGGTTAGGAATAATAGCTGTGGAAAAAAAATGATTTGTCTCTCCCAGTGGTGATCTGGAAGTGAACTATGGTCTTAACATTATATGGGAAAGAATAAGGGGCCCTATAGGAAGAGTTGTGGCAGATAAGTGGGTCCAGGTTATTCTTGGATTTGCGAGACAGGGGTTAGGATGCTGCAACTGATTTCATGTTATTTTAAGACTTTTATAGCTTATATTGCAGTTTGCTTTCTCATTTCAAAATGCTATCAACTCTGGGTTAGAAAGGGCTCTGAGAGTTAAAAAGATGTGGGGCTGCAGATTGTCCATCCTGTTTCTAGAGGTAATCCAGAAATATTCATGCATTCAAATCCATTTCCTTTTCACAGCTGAAACCTTTCAAACGACACCCATTCAAGCTTCAGCATTGATGTAAGAGAAGCTAGTCAAAGATTGCAAGATGACGGATGAGCCGATTAAAGAGATCTTGGGAAGTTCCAAGTGTCCTCAGTGTGCAACACAGGAAAAAAGCAACAACAATGACTACAGGGTAATAACTGTCCCTTTGGTGAGTGAATGCCAACTGACGGCTGCTACAGGGGGAGCTGAACTCTCCTGTTACCGCTGTACAATCCCATTTGGGGTGGTGATCCTCATTGCTGGGGTGGTGGTCACTGCTGTGGCATATAGCTTCAACTCCCATGGATCCATCATCTCCGTGTTTGGTTTGATTCTCTTGTCATCTGGACTCTTTTTGCTGGTGTCAAGTGCATTATGCTGGAAAATCCGCCAGCACCACAAGAAGACCAAGAGGCGTGAAAGCCAGACGGTTCTAGTGGCTAACCAGAGGAACCTGTTTGCTTAAGAACTACATTACAAACAAGAGGCTAAAAAAGAAAGAGAATGCAATGGGTCACAGAGTGCACACGTCTATTTATTTTCATTTGGGCTACAGGATGTCTTTTATTAATGACTGTTTGGATTGATCAATGTTAAGTAAAGAGTTCTTGCAAAATCAGGAATCATTGGTATCCATAAACATATTTCAAGATGCATTAGGTTTAGTAGTTCCTTCCTTCCATTTAGTCTCCTATCCTCATTTACCCCTCTCCCCATTTGTATTATAAACTTAAAAGCAAGCCAAGCTAAGATGAGAAAACCTATTATAGTCAAAGATAGCAGTAGGCAATTGATAATGCAAATATATGCGCATAAGAACAAGATAATTCTTTGTTATCAGCTATCTCTTTTCATAGAATTATTTGTTTCAAGTATATATATGTAACAAGAGCTTACCTTGAATTACTTTCCTGAGAAGCAACTTTGAAAGTGATTGAGAAGAGGAGCCTATGAACAATTCTATCATGGCTAAGAGTTGCAAATAAATCTGTGTCACTACAGTGGTAAATAATTCTACATTTTTCTTTCCTACAAAAGGCAGGGAAGTACCTAACTTCAGCTGTTTTTCTACTTCAGATTCCCCTTGAAAAATCAGCTTATACTGTACCTGTTATTTACCTTTGTGTGGAACAAAGAGGTCCTGCCTCAGTACCATCTCCCAAACTGAAAATAGCAATATCATTGCATGCTTCATTGATTAGCATGTTTGCTTGATTTACAAAGGGCTGCAAATAAAGCAATTCCCTTTTTCCTTCTACATCCATTTGGCAAACCCATCTTGAAATGTTATTTACCTCCCCATCATCATGCTTTGCCTTTGCTTACTGCCCTCCTCCTCAGCCTTGTCTTTTGCACCAAAGATTTTTTTATTATTATTCCAAGCTATTCTGAATGCTTGGATAATGTTGAAAACAGGAAAATTTTGAAGGTGATTAGAACACACCTAAAAGTGCCAAAAGCGTGCTCATGGCTTTCTCCTCCAATTTTGTGCATTATGTTTTCAATAGATGAAAAGTTCATATACTTCTTTCATCAACGTATTTTTTAAGGCCTACAAGTAGCTGCATTAGTGAATTCTCAGATCACTTCTCCACTCTTTGTTTTGTTCCTAAGAAATGTATGGTACTTTTTCAAGAGAAATATCAAACTTTTTAACAAAAAATTTGGGTGCTCAGGGGAGAGGGATTAATACTTAGACACAAATTAATCTCTATGCTTATTAGCCCAAAGTAAACAACAAAATACCTGTATAGTTAGAAGTCACTTTTTCTGTAAAGTTCATTATAATGCTCTCATACTTAGCACTTTGGGGTGGTTTTGATATTTTTTTTAATGAACCCTTCATTTAAAAAATAATAAACAATTTCTGCTGCTAGAGCTTCACAAGGTTTAGTTATTTCCATTCTGATCTGGAACTTTTTGTACAGATACATCCCAGAAGACCAGTACAGACATGAATAATACGAATGCCCAGCCAGAGATGGCTTCAGTGTAGTTTGTTCATCCCTGCCCCACTGAAATTCTAAGGAACACGTGAAACTAGAGAGGAAGTACAATGAACAATGCAGATGGAACTTTTATCCAGTCCCTGAAAGCTTGTACAATTACTGATTATTAAATGCAGTTGAACCTCTAAAAGTCTGCTAATGTTGAACTTTCTGTTCTGCATCTTTATTTAAGAAATGTATGGGGCAGTGTATGCAAAAATTATGTTAACAACTTAAAATACAATAAAAGATCGTATGAACCAAGCCTAAAGCGGTAAAATTTTAAAAAGCTGAAATCAAACACAAATTGAAATAGTAAAAGGTATATACAAATTAAATGCAAATAAAATGGTTCTAGCAGATTGTTGAATTTAATTCAGAGTGGATGCCAGCTATGTTTCATTGGCAAGCCAAGTGATGCTGTGGCTGTGTTTTCACAGTACCTAGAGGCTGTAGGGGTCTGGATAGGGGACAACGGGCTTCTACTGAACTCTGGTAAGATGGAGTAGCTGTGGAGTCTTAGGATCCGGAGGTTTATCATCTATAGTTCTGGATGGAGTGGGGATTTTCCTAGACTTGTGACTCCTGCTCAGAGACCAGGTGGCAGTCATGGCTAGAAGAATCTTTGCACAATTTTGGATGGTGTGCCAACTGTATCCTTGTCTGGATTGTGAGGCCCTGCGCTCAGTCATTCATGTTCTGGTCATCTCCCATTTGGATTATGCGTTCTACATGGAGCTACCCTTGAAGAGTGTTTGGAAGCTACAATTGTTCCAGAATGCAACAGTGCAGACATTTTTGAGGCTCCTAGGGTAGCACATATGTAACACCACTGTTACACAAGCTGTATTGGCTGCTGATCTGCTTTCAGCTAATTCAAGGTGTTGAATTAACTATCTTTAAAACCCTTTATGGCATACATCCACAATATCGGAAGAACCGTCTTTCCTCAATGGGATTAGCCCATCCTTCATATGCTAGAAAAAATATCCTATTGCAGACTCCATCAGGCAAGGAATTGCAGCTGGTGGGGTCTAGGAGAAGAGTCTTTTCTGCCCCTGCCTTTTGGAACATCTTGCCACTGGAAGTGAGATCTAGCTCCCCTCTCCTGGCTTTCAGGAAATGCCTTATAACTTGGCTATGACTGTTGGCATAGGAAAAGCTGTTGGCTGGAGATGGCTAGTGTAGTAACAGAGAAGCACCCACCACCTTTCCACTCCAAACTGGTGGTTTTTTTAGTTTCTTTTAATCTTTTGTACTTTTAATCTGTCTTTATATTTAATTGATTTTATAGCCATATATTTTATTACATTATAGCCTCTCAGAATCACCTCAAGCCATGAGATGGGCAGCATATAAATTAAATAAATAAAATGTTTCCCATAGGACTCCATTTCAAAGTTAGGATATTTTCCCTAGTAAGGCCTTCTCATTTCTAAATAGCGAGTGCATTTATTTTATAGAAAAGGCAAGTCTTGGGCTATAATATAATGCATGAACTGTACCGGTAGATAAGAAAAGGGATGCAAGTATCAAATAAAAGACTTCATGAAGAAGAGAAAAAAAAAGTGGATGTATTTTCGTAGTTGCGATGTTCCAGACAGATGCTGTAATTTATATAAACACGCAGAGTTGCTTTTAAACTTTCCTGTAAAATCAGGAAAGAAACCACTACTTCTATCAAATCACAATTCGTGGAATTCACCGGCAGGCACTGATTTCAAGTTTGGAAATAATGTCAGTCTGTTGCAATGTAAGTAAATCTTCGTAAGTAGCAGTAAAGAGGAATATCTGTTGATGCTGACAGCTATTGGGCTTAAGGGGGGAGAGAGGCAATATGTAGCACATGTGGCTCGTTGCTTAATTTCATATACCTTTGACCTAATTTCAACAGCCTCTCGCAGGAACAAAATTCAGACTTTGGGTAAGTGATTTCAACTTTCCCTGGCAGCCTCCTCTCTAGGAGTAAAAGAGCAAAAGGGCAATAGAAAGATTGAAAAAGGATGCCAGAAACAGGATGGCCCTGCTTCGCTCACTGTTGCTTTGCCATTGAACTTCACTGATGTAATCTGACTCCCAATCAGACTATGCTTGCAGAGATGTGTTCCTTGGTCAAAAAAAATTGTCCCCCAAAATACAAAGCATGAACCTCAGATACACATAAGTTCTTGTACCTCAAAACAGCACTTGAGGTGAGGGACAATGTTGGTTTCGGAATTCTGTTTCTTCTATCTCTCTACATGCCAAAGAAGCTGTAATTTGGGGTATGTCCAGGACTTGAGTGAAAGCATCTCAGCCTATTTCCAGTGTTAAGACTCAGTTCTGTGGCATGTTAGCATGTTAAGTAGTAACAACAGAGTCTATCCGATCATGTTCAAAGTGTCATTCCTTCCTCAGTGTGTAAGATTCATCTGGGAATAGACTGAAAGTTTCCAAACCAAAAGATGTGACTTTGAGTTGGGCCATGACATCCTGCGCTGTAAGAATGTAATAGCAAAAAGATGCAAGTTGTTTGTGAAATTGGCCATTGTAGTCCTACATTTTAAAGATAGAACCGTATAGTTGATTAAGAATCTGCTTTCCTGCAGATGGAAGCAAACCTGTGGCTCAGTTGTGTATATACAACTGAAATGCCCTATTTTTTGTCCAATAGAATTTGCTTGTGAATAGGATTGCAACTTTTAAATTACAACTAGTGCTGAAATGGTCTGTGTCTAGAGAAATGTAAAATCAAGCCCCAGAAATTTTCTCTCAGAATATTACTGGCTTTCTCCAGATGAAGGAATGGAGGAGGTATATCATTGTATGAATAACCCCAACCCTTCTGTTAAAAATATGCACATGGAAACAGTGCTCACAACTGAGGCCCTAGCCTTCTAAAGTGCAAGCTGTGATTTAAATAGAGCAGCAGCTATACATATGGGAGGGGATGTTTAGACTCAGTATTTGTGTTGCTACACTCCACAGTTACCAGACACTATAATAAAATCACTTGCATCAGAGGAAAGCTGACCACACATTTTAGCACTTTTCATAGCTCGAACTTAATCACGGCAGGAAGCTTTCCTGCTACTGGGGGAACATATTGCGTCACTAGAACATCTGACACGGGTATCTTATGTCAATCACTTTGCTTAAGGTCATTAAAAATATTAGGGGGTGTTCTCTTACAATATATAGCTGTGGCAGAGAGTGACAATTAGCAGGACATACAGCGTTGCTAAATCAGTAGACAGAGGATTTAAAAACCCACTCTTATTCAGAATGAGGGCAATGGTTAACATCTGCAAGGCAGAGGGGATACTGAAGCAATAATTCTGATCAAGCTTCAACTAGGGAAACAAAGACAGTGTGCTCTGGCAGTAATATGCTCTTTTTTTTCCTGCTGGAATTTTGTTTAGCCAAGCAATTTGACTGGGTGTATTGTAAAATTCAGGTGCACGGAAACCACCAGCCAACCATCTGAACGGCACACGAGTTATCGAAGACAAAAATACTTCTCTCAAGGATGGTATGATAGAGCTAGCCTTTTTTTGACCCAAATTTTCAGCTCAATATTATTCAAGGCTTTTCAGGTTTGGGTCAGGTTTCAAACTCCTGAACTCCTTGGGCCAGAGGTGATCAAACAAGAACTCTTATGCAGATATATATAACAGACAGTAGATCTTTTGCAACATGTATGTCCTGCTAATTGTCATTTCTGTGCCACAACTTTATATTGTAAAAGAACACCCCCTAATATTTTTAACGACCTTAAGCAAAGTGATCTCTTATTGGTCCTTTATTTAGGCAAAATGAGTATAAGAAGCACAATTCAATGAAAAATGAATTAGGGAGGGATGATTCCTGGAAATGAAATGGTTTCCTATGCACTGGTGGGCTTGCTCAGGAAGAGGTGATTTCTTTTTCAGATGTCCTTTAATTCTCTGTGAATGTTCTCGTCTTTGTTGGCCTCATTGAAAGAAATAATGCCTCCCAATGTATTACCTAGTCCCACCCAGTTCTCTTCTGAAATTTCCCCAACTCAAGATGTTCCTCAGTGAGATTTACATCTGGTAGTGGCCCTGCCTTATTCACAGAACCGAAGGGAATCCAAATAATGGCACCTTCCAGTTAACTACTATACCCCCTATCATCTCTTTTGTCTTTAACTTCAGGCAGACACAATGTTTTAAGCAGGAAAGGGCAAAAGACACCTGGGTTGTCTTTTGATTGGTTGGACTAGATCTGTCAGTCTGGAAATATTCTAAGTGCCCATCTCAACGTGGCTATCATAGAAGTGTTCCCAAAACAAACTGGTGGAGGGAATAACACCAATAATCCTTTAAATGTATCCCCAAATTAAACCCATCCTTGCCCATTTACTAATTTCTATGTTTACATCTCCGTATATGCCAAATAATATCAACTTGTTTTCATATTGATTCCACTAGGATTTCTCTGGTTCAGTACATGATTCACCAAATGGACAGAGCCCATATCCTATGAAGAAAAGTCCACCTTACTTCCATTCAGGAATCAAATATTCTAAAATAGAATCTCCCCTGCATTGGATAAAACTGGGTTACCAGAAAGATTTCCTCTTCTCTCCTAAAAAAAAAAATAAAAAAAAATATCAGAGATGAGCATTCCCACTCCGTTAGATTCCCTTTCTGTCTCAAGAGCTCACTTTGTGAATTGAATTAACAGCTTTCCTGGAAAACTGGCTCATGACATGATTTCCTTGTGAACTCCATCCACCTGTCATGTCAGAGCTTGGAAAGCTGCCAGAATTGGCAGGAAATAATAGGCAGCAGGATACTGGTGTGTGTCAATGGCCCTGACCCTCCCATTCCTGAACATGAATAAGTTTGATGCTTGCAAGGCGTCAGAGCCCATCAGCTTCTGGATTCACAGAAGCCTATGGGTGGGATGCACAGCTCTTGAAATAACATCCAGCCAGTAGAAAGCTTTTCAGCCTGGGAAGCAGAAGGGGCTGCATGCTCTTTGGCTGGAGTTTCCATACATCCCTTTGTTCTTTGGCTTGATAAGATTCCGACTGGTTCTAATTGAAGAACGAAACACAATCCTAATGTGAGCGGTTGCTTGACAAGCTAAAATAAAAGTTCACCCAAGGGAAACATGAAAGGGATGGTTCATAATTTCCATCTTTCAAAGCACTTCTTTAAAAGGAAATGCGGTCAGTGGGATGCTGAAAAATACCCACATGGAAATTTATTTCCCATTGATCGGTGAGTGGGTTTAAAAAGAAAAACCAGCTCATCAATTTGATTACATTTAGTCAATGAAATTCTTTATTAGGGTGAAGCATACCATGAGTACTATAATTTGTAT